ATATATTATTTAAGTTGAGTCCTTAATTGTTTTGTTAGGCTAACTAACGCGGAGAACTATCACGGAGGGATGGAGGCAGAAAAGTATGACCCGCAAATGGCCGCAATGGAAGAGAATCCCACGGAAATGTATGAGAGGTTTGCCCCACTTGTGACGGGCTGTGACCCCAACTCGACAGCCGTTCACGAGTACACTCAGAATGTATTGAGCATGAAGCCCGACATCCGTCAACACATTATCTGTTTGCTTGGCCGGCTCGACTTGAGGGCGTGGCTCGGCCAAGTCACAATCCCCTGCCATGTCATTCAGAGTTCCAATGACTTGTTGGTGCCGGTGGCGGTTGCGGAATACATCCATCGAAGCCTTGGCGGGAAGTCCGTGTTGGAGGTGGTGCCGACCCAAGGTCACCTTCCGCACCTCAGCTCGCCGGAGGTCATCAACCCGGTGCTGCTCCGTCACATAAGGGAGGATATTGTGGGTGAAGATAAGTCAGAAAAAATTGAGATGGAAGTTTGAGTTTTATGTTGTGATTTGTTGTTTTATGTTGTGCCTGTCATGAACCTCTTTTCTTTTATTTTATTTCATATTTCATGTTTCCCAATGACAAAGTAGGAGAAAAGAACACGATAGCGAAATCAGTCATCTGATCTGATACAGAGAGAGAGAGAGAGAGAGAGAGAGAGAGAGAGGCCCTAGGCATGTATATAAATACCAAAGATTAGGGTTTACAAGTCTAACTTACCTCTAAGTAACTAAGGCTAAAAGAGTAAATACATAAGATATAAATCAAGCTGGAGCATGCGCATTCTGAACGCCCAACTTGTCAAGGACAAAATCAAATTCACGCTTTTCTATGGCCTTAAGTAAAGATATTTGCTAGCTGAGGGCTAGTAGGAACATGACAGGTAGAGATGAGACTCTGGTGAGGTGCATCTTGAACAAAGTGACAGTCGACCTCAACATGCTTAGTGCATTCAGGAAAGACAAAACTCGAGGCAATATGCAGGGCATACTGGTTATCACATAAAAGGTGCATAGGATGAGAGTGAGACACACCAAAGCTAGACAATAAACCTCGAAACCACTTCAGCTCACAAAGAGTGGTTGTCATAGCATGGTATTCTGCCTCAACAAAGGAGTGTGCAACTGTATGTTGTTTCTTAGTACGTCAAGAGACAGAAGATTGACCCAACTGAATAAACTACCCCGTAAGAGAATGATGAGTGAGAGGACAAGTCGCCCAATCCGAGTCATACAAACTATAGAACTGAAGATCACAATCAGCAGGGGAACCCTTTAAATAGCGAACCACACGAAGGGCAGCATCCCAATGAGTCTGGCATGGCTGATGCATAAACTGAGCTAGCATATGAACAGAGTATAACAACTACGGCCTAGTAACTGCAAAATAAATCAGACGACTTACTAAACGGCGATACCTCTGAGGATCCTCCAATAACTCATCATTTGCAAAAGGTAACCGAGGATTCTGCTCCAAAGGAATAGCAGCAGACTTACCTACTAACAAGCCAGCTTCAGAAACAATATTAAGGGCACATTTTCGCTGACAAAGAAAAATAACAGAAGAATTCCAGAGAACCATAATGCCCATAAAGTACTTCAGAAAGCCCAATCTTCATCTGAAAAAATACTATCCAACAAGACCGGTCATGCGGCGGCCGACCGTTCAAACCGGTCAGACTGGAGCTGGCCTTTTATATTTTTTTTTTTTTTTGGAACCGGCCGGCCGCTGACTGCGACTGCAACTCGACCAGCCGCCCGCTGATTGCGGCCGCAAATCGGCCGGCCGCACGCGGCCGCTAATGGCTCGGCCTCGACCCTTTTTTTTTGTATAAAAAATTTAAATATTTAAAAAATATTTAATTTTTTACTACTATTAATTATTAGAGAAACCGATTAATATTTATTAAGGCAAGTTGTTACAACATATATAGTTATTCATTGCCTTTCATTGAACTTTCTCATTCACTGTGGGATAATTACAAATCAAAGTCTTCGGTCCCAACCTTTTATAGCCACTCTTGGCCTTTATTATTGTGTTTGCAATCGATGTGAGATTGTCTCAAACCTCTAGCCTTTTATAGCTACTTTTTTCATTCTTTTTTGCTTTCAAAATCAATGTGGGACTAAATGATCTATGCTTTAACACACTTTCACTATGTATGTCAAAATGAATATCACATTATCATCAATTAAACTTATTATTATTTTAAATTGATAAATGATTAAATTTAACTAAATGAACATGAAATATGGAAAAACATTATGGGCTTTTACATAAGAAAAGAAAATACATTTATCATCCTACTTTCATTTTTTTTTTTTTGTTAGTGAAATAAAAAAATATTTAGATATTATAAATATATATATAAGTTACTATTAGATAGTTTAAGTATTTGAATGTTTTAAATTGTCTTAATATTTAATTAATAAAATTTTATATATAAGTTTTATCATATAAAATATTATATATATGTTTAAAAGTATTAAAAATTAAATACTGGTCCAACCACTGGTCGAACCAGTGAACCAGTAGCTAGACCGGTTTGATGACCGGTCCGATTTTCATAACCTTAGTTATAATATATATA